GTAAAATCAAATCACAAAATACCGGCAAGGAGATTTTCTTTAAAATTTTAGGAATTTAAAATTTTTAGTTTTAAAATAAGAGCATAGTTAAAATCTTTAAAAAACAAGTCTTAAAATGTGTAATCTTACATTTTTTAAAATCCCGCCAAGAGATTTTTCAAATCCATTTGGGGAATGAAGAATATTTTGTTGTCGAATACAAATTTGGCTAAAATTTTACGATATTAACGTAAATGTTAAAATGCAATCCCGTAAGGAAAAGTTGTTTATTCCTTTAAAATTTTGTTTTCTTTATTTCGTTTTCTTCTTTACATTATGATGACTTATTTATGCGGTTTTATTCAAAAACGTCTTTCTTACTTCTTAGAATGTTTAACACAGATTTATTTATTTATTTAAAGACTTAATTCAGCCATCTTTAGCTTGATTTTAAATTGGTTTTCCATTAACTAAAATACAAATTGCTTTACATCGTATAGAATTTAAACCGGATTATGATGAAACAGTTTTAGTTTTGGTAAGCAAACCACTGTCGCCCATATCCTCGTTGAAGCCAGGGCGGTATTTCATGCCGGGGGCCTAAAAAGCATTGAAAAACCATTAGAAAACATCATATTCATATTTAAATTACAAAAAACACTTACATTGAACCACACATCACGCCATTTCTTGCCACTGTCAGCATCACGCATCAATTCGGGTACATCGAAACGTGGCACATTGAAGTAGTTCATTAAATCGGGCTTTCCACTGCAGTACTTAATGCGTGTCTCACACCATTCACCCTCGTGGGGAAACGCCAATCTTTCATTTTCTTTTCCAAGGGATCTCATCGAAACGTTCGAAATCAATACGTTCGATATCTTCGACTACTACCTCGGTCTCACCGCCAGCGGTCCAGTCGTAGATCAAGAGCTCAGCGTGAGAGGCAATGTCCTTCAAGTATTGTTGCTTGTAGATGTTTTCAATGTCACGCAAGTAGGCGTCATTGAAGACCTTAGAGTTGACTTCGTAGTCAATGTTGCGGGCCTTAATGCGTTGCTGGAAACAAAGGGAAGATAAATTATGATTTTACTGGGCAGATTGGTCCAGAAATAAGACTGTAGACTGGACTAAAGACTAGACTCTAGAATGGATTATAGACCATAAACTGGACTATATGCCAGACAATAGGCTGAACTATGGATTGGACTGTTGATATAACTTGCGACAGATATGCAGACTAGACTAGACTGTAGAATATACTATAGAGTAGACTGCAGACTACATTATAGACTAGACTATAGAGTATACTATAGACTTGACTAAAAACTATGCTATATACCAGACTGTAGACTTGACTATTAAATAGGCAATTAACTTGACTCTAGGCAAGACAATTAACTTGATTATAAACTAGACTATAGACCAGATTATAGACTAGACTATAGACCAGAATATAGACTAGATTATATACTTGACTATTAACTTGACTATAAACTAGACTATTGACTACAATAAGACAATGGTTATAGGCTAGACTATAGACTAGATTATAAACTAGACTTTAGACTACACTATAGAGTAGACTATAAACTAAACTATAGACTAGGTTAGACTAGACTATAGACTGCACTACAACCTATTGATCATTCTTTAAATCTGGCTATAGACTGGACTAAAGGTACGCTTATAAACTGTTATCTAGGCCATTTCACAGAGTAGTCTGTAGCTTCATCTACAGAAGAGAAAACTCATTCTTACCTTCACAGCATCAACGGGCAATCCAAATAGATAACCAAATGTGGTCTCAACAATTCGTTGATGGTGTTTGTCTCAATTCATGATAGACCGAACGGGCACCCTTGGAAATATAACCCTGTCTGTACATTGACTCCAAGAAGACAAATCAGAAAAACAACTGCGATCCAACACAACACCCTGGCCGGTGGACAACAAATGAGCCAACGAATCAACGTATTGCTCAAAACGCAACATATACATGCGAATTTGGAAGGTAGCAGCCAAAGAATGATTAGGTTCTTTGCAGAAGTTCACCACATCGTAGGAACGGCAGTTCTCAGGCAATTGGGGATCCAATTTACGCATATCATAACCATAGGAATTGATATACACCATATCCATATTGGCTTCGGGAACATACAACATTTCCAATTCCTCAGCCAATTCTTTGGCAAATTTACTCTTGCCAGCGGCAATGGGACCCTCAACGCAAATAATTTTGGAATTTTCATGTAAACGTTTGGTCGTCTTGTCTAGCATGGACTGGAAAACGCCATATTCCTTTTCTTTGTAGGGATAGGGTTTATGGGTGATGACACGGGGACCGCCGCGCATTGTCTTGCCCGAAATGAAACGTTGCTGGGTCATGGCTGCTGGCACAGCAGGAGCAGCATTGCGTGAGCAAAGGCGTATTAGGCCTACTCTGAAAAACGGCAGTCATCTGTAAAGAAAAAGGAATTTATAAAACTTTACTATTTTTATAGTTTATACCAATAAAATATCCGTAAAACAATTGCTTGTCCAAGTGTTACATCACACACGGTCTCTTTACTCTAAGCTAGTTGTTGTTATTTCTCAAACAAACCGGGTTTTTGAACACTTTTAAAAGTTTGTAAATAATTTTCTTAAAGTTCAATTTATATTCTTTATATTTTTGTTAATTAATTATTTAATTATTATTAATTTTCTTTATATTAAACACTCACTTTTCCCTTAAAAAATGCTTTTAACTTCGACGACAAAAAATGAACTTCGTTAAAATGTCAAAATGACAGCTGTTTGGCAAGAGCAAGTAAAAACAGAGTTGTTTGACATATAAATACAGAGTTATTTTTTTTAATAATAACTCAGTGATGCCATATTAGTTTGTTATTTAATCTATCAATCTACTGTTAACTTAAAAGAGCATCTTCTGTACATAATCTTTGTTTTCTTTTTTAATCAAAATTAATATTTCCTTTCACTCCTTAAAAATTCCGTGCTGTATATTTGTATGCACACTTTCTTAACACTACCATTATGTCGCTTGGGTGGTGAGTTATCTGACCCCACGTAGCAATGATTTTGTATTCAAAGGCGTTTTCTGGTCTTGGTGAAAGTTTTTTAAACAAGATCTTAAAGGTAAACAGATTCTACAGTGGACCCATTGGAAACATATTGCATCTATCAGCATAAGGTTTGCCTGAGACATCGGTCTCAGAAATGCCCTTATAAGAGAAAAGATAAAATATTATAAAATTATTTTATTTTAATTTCATTCTTATCATTTAGTTCTTGGTGCGTTTGTAGCTGATAATGGTGAGACAGTTTTGATGAAATATTGGTCTCTGGTCCACTATGAGTTCATTTTCGAATTCCGCTTAAATACTAATCATATAATATACCTCAAGTTGCTTAATATCAAACATTTTCGGGACTTTTGATGGATATTCTGAGTCCATTTTTGGATTCAGCATGGAATTTTACAAGTAATGTGTGTTTGCTGGTAGATATTTATAAAAAAAAACATAAATTTGTTAAGAAAAATTTAAATTTTGCTTTTTCTTAAGAAAATAACGCTTTTACTTTACTAGTCTGGTATTTCTTTATTACAGCAAGCAATTGTTTACAATTGGATGTGGCAACTCAATAAATGGTTGATGTCATTGCTAACACAATAGTCATGACATGTAATTATAAACAGGGTGTTTCATAGAAGCAAAAAAGTGTACCATAAACAAAACAATAACAGAGTGACTAAAGTAGCGTTTTTTTTTCATAGGAAAAGCTAATTTTGGGTTTTTCTTAATAAATATTGTATAAAATTATAAAAATCGATAAGAAAATTAAAGAAATAAATTAATAATAAATAAAAAACAATTAATGTAAGCAACACAACATTAGAAAATATACATTTTCATTAAAATTTTGAAAGTTGAATTAAAATGTTTTAAAATTTGTATTTATAATGTTTTTTATTTTGTATAAAACTAGAATTTTCTACTTAACGACTTAATTTTTTTTTATTTTTTACATAAAAATCATTTTATTATAAATTTTTCCTATAGGAAATTGTAAATTTGGGCCATTAGGGTTATTATTTACATAAAGTACTTTGTTTACGAAATACGTCACCTTTACTATTCTTTAAAATCAATTCAAGTTCATCGAATTACTCTTAAGCTTTATCGCTTAATATTAAAATAATGCAATAATATGTTGTTATTATTGTATCACCAATTTTAATATTATTTAATTTTTTATAAAATTTTTCCAAAACGATAAGATTTTTTAAAAGATGAATCACTTGTTCTTCAGAAAAACATAAATTTCTTATAAAAAGCCCCCACAGTTTCAAGTAATACATCAATTTCATTACAAATTTTGTTGAGTTTTAAAAGAATTAAAGAAAAACCCATTAAAATGAAATTATTAATAAATATTGTTCTTATAATAACCCTAGCCTGCTACTGTCAGGGCTATAGTTTTGTAATACCGGCCAGTAAGTGAAAAATTTAAGACAAATTAAAGGAAATATTAAAAATGTTGAAAATTTTTCCTTTAACAGGAATGGGCATGCCTGGTGTTTGCATGTTTAATGGCATGATGCTGCAACGTGGTGACAATAATATGCCTTCGTCCTGTCAAAATATGCGTTGTAATGATGATGGCACCATATTGGTGCAAGGGTAAGTTTGAAATAAAAAAATTTCCAAATATTTTATATAAAATTCAAATATTCTAGTTGCGGTCATTATGATATGCGTGATTGTCGTGTTATGGATCCCATTAATTTGCACAAACCTTATCCTGATTGCTGCAAAATGAATTTCTTGTGTAATATGGCCAATGGTCAGGTTTATAATCGGGCCGCTTCTCCCTTAACTCAAGCCATATATGAGTAATAAAACACCGATACGAAAAAGGAACATATGGGCGAAGGCTAAAATAAATAATAATAATAATAATAAATTTTAAAAATATTCTTTAAATTTAATCTAATATAATCTTATCTAGTTTACAAAAAATTGCAAAAACTATTCCAAGTTCACACTTGCACTTGAATTTCCATATCAAATTCTTCCCTAAGTTCAGAATAAATATGCATATTGTTTAAAATCGTTCAATCTGTTCTAAAGTTGTATTTTCTTTAAAAAAAGTATAAACTTTAACTAATGGATTATAGACTACTTAGTCTAATCAAAAGCCTAGAATATATACAAAACTATTGGGTATTTTAGTTTAAAATCTAGCTATTGTTTAGTCGATAGTCTGGTCTATAGTTTGGTCTGTAGTCAAGTCTATAGTCCAGACAATAGTATAGACCAGACTATAGAATTAAATATAGACTAGACTATACACTACTTTATAGACTGCACTAAAGGCTGGACTATAGCTTAAACTATAAACTAGACAATAACTATAAACTAGACTAGAACACTATAGACAAATATATTTACTAGTTTACTGTCTTGACTATAGTCTGCTCTGTAGTACACTCTATAGTCTAGTCCAGAGATAATTCCATAGTGTAGTCTATAGACTGGTACATATTCTAGCCTATAGTGTAAGCTACAGTCCACTCTATAGTATAGTCTATAGTGTAGTGTATAGTCTAGTCCACACACAAGTCTATAGTCTAGTCTACATAATATTCTGCAGTATAGTCTATAGACTAGTGTATAGTCGAGATTATAGTCTAGTCTATAGATTAGCATATTGTCTAGTCTATAGTCTAGTCTATAGTCTAGTCTATAGTCTAGTCTATAGTCTAGTCTATAGTCTAGTCTATAGTCTAGTCTATAGTTTAGTCTATAGTCTAGTCTATAGTCTAGTCTATAGTCTAGTCTATAGTCTAGTCTATAGTCTAGTCTATAGTCTAGTCTATAGTCTAGTCTATAGTCTAGTCTATAGTCTAGTCTATAGTCTAGTCTATAGTCTAGTCTATAGTCTAGTCTATAGTCTAGTCTATAGTCTAGTCTATAGTCTAGTCTATAGTCTAGTCTATAGTCTAGTCTATAGTCTAGTCTATAGTCTAGTCTATAGTCTAGTCTATAGCCTAGTCTATAGTCTAGTCTATAGTCTAGTCTATGGTCTAGTCTATAGTCTAGTCTATAGTCTAGTCTATAGTCTAGTCTATAGTCTAGTCTATAGTCTAGTCTATAGTCTAGTCTATAGTCTAGTCTATAGTCTAGTCTATAGTCTAGTCTATAGTCTAGTCTATAGTCTAGTCTATAGTCTAGTCTATAGTCTAGTCTATAGTCTAGTCTATAGTCTAGTCTATAGTCTAGTCTATAGTCTAGTCTATAGTCTAGTCTATAGTCTAGTCTATAGTCTAGTCTATAGTCTAGTCTATAGTCTAGTCTATAGTCTAGTCTATAGTCTAGTCTATAGTCTAGTCTAAGTCTAGTCTATATAGTCTAGTCTATAGTCTAGTCTATAGTCTAGTCTATAGTCTAGTATAGTCTAGTCTATAGTCTAGTCTATAGTCTAGTCTATAGTCTAGTCTATAGTCTAGTCTATAGTCTAGTCTATAGTCTAGTCTATAGTCTAGTCCATAGTCTAGTCTATAGTCTAGTCTATAGTCTAGTCTATAGTCTAGTCTATAGTCTAGTCTATAGTCTAGTCTATAGTCTAGTCTATAGTCTAGTCTATAGTCTAGTCTATAGTCTAGTCTATAGTCTAGTCTATAGTCTAGTCTATAGTCTAGTCTATAGTCTAGTCTATAGTCTAGTCTATAGTCTAGTCTATAGTCTAGTCTATAGTCTAGTCTATAGTCTAGTCTATAGTCTAGTCTATAGTCTAGTCTATAGTCTAGTCTATAGTCTAGTCTATAGTCTAGTCTATAGTCTAGTCTATAGTCTAGTCTATAGTCTAGTCTATAGTCTAGTCTATAGTCTAGTCTATAGTCTAGTCTATAGTCTAGTCTATAGTCTAGTCTATAGTCTAGTCTATAGTCTAGTCTATAGTCTGGTCTATATTCTAGTCTATAGTCTAGTCTATAGTCTAGTCTATAGTCTAGTCTATAGTCTAGTCTATAGTCTAGTCTATAGTCTAGTCTATAGTCTAGTCTATAGTCTAGTCTATAGTCTAGTCTATAGTCTAGTCTATAGTCTAGTCTATAGTCTAGTCTATAGTCTAGTCTAGTCTATAGTCTACTCTAGTCTATAGTCTAGTCTAGTCTATAGTCTAGTCTAGTCTATAGTCTATAGTCTAGTCTAGTCTATAGTCTAGTCAATAGTCTAGTCTATAGTCTAGTCTATAGTCTAGTCTATAGTCTAGTCTATGGTCTAGTCTATAGTCTAGTCTATAGTCTAGTCTATAGTCTAGTCTATAGTCTAGTCATAGTCTAGTCTATAGTCTAGTCTATAGTCTAGTCTATAGTCTAGTCTATAGTCTAGTCTATAGTCTAGTCTATAGTCTAGTCTATAGTCTAGTCTATAGTCTAGTCTATAGTCTAGTCTATAGTCTAGTCTATAGTCTAGTCTATAGTCTAGTCTATAGTCTAGTCTATAGTCTAGTCTATAGTCTAGTCTAGTCTATAGTCTAGTCTAGTCTATAGTCTAGTCTATAGTCTAGTCTATAGTCTAGTCTATAGTCTAGTCTATAGTCTAGTCTATAGTCTAGTCTATAGTCTAGTCTATAGTCTAGTCTATAGTCTAGTCTATAGTCTAGTCTATAGTCTAGTCTATAGTCTAGTCTATAGTCTAGTCTATAGTCTAGTCTATAGTCTAGTCTATAGTCTAGTCTATAGTCTAGTCTATAGTCTAGTCTATAGTCTAGTCTATAGTCTAGTCTATAGTCTAGTCTATAGTCTAGTCTATAGTCTAGTCTATAGTCTAGTCTATAGTCTAGTCTATAGTCTAGTCTATAGTCTAGTCTATAGTCTAGTCTATAGTCTAGTCTATAGTATAGTCTATAGTCTAGTCTATAGTCTAGTCTATAGTCTAGTCTATAGTCTAGTCTATAGTCTAGTCTATAGTCTAGTCTATAGTCTAGTCTATAGTCTAGTCTATAGTCTAGTCTATAGTCTAGTCTATAGTCTAGTCTATAGTCTAGTCTATAGTCTAGTCTATAGTAGTCTATAGTCTAGTATAGTCTAGTTATAGATAGTCTAGTCTAGTCTAGTCTATAGTCTAGTCTATAGTCTAGTCTATAGTCTAGTCTATAGTCTAGTCTATAGTCTAGTCTATAGTCTAGTCTATAGTCTAGTCTATAGTCTAGTCTATAGTCTAGTCTATAGTCTAGTCTATAGTCTAGTCTATAGTCTAGTCTATAGTCTAGTCTATAGTCTAGTCTATAGTCTAGTCTATAGACTAGGCTATAGTCTAGGCTATAGTCTAGTCTATAGTCTAGTCTATAGTCTAGTCTATAGTCTAGTTTATAGTCTGGGCTATAGTCTTGTCTATAGTCTTGTCTATAGTTTTGTCTATAGTCTTGTCTATAGTCTAGTCTATAGTCTAGTCTATAGTCTAGTCTATAGTCTAGTCTATAGTCTAGTCTATAGTCTAGTCTATAGTCTAGTCTATAGTCTAGTCTATAGTCTAGTCTATAGTCTAGTCTATAGTCTAGTCTATAGTCTAGTCCAGAGTCTAGTCTATAGTCTAGTCTATAGTCTAGTCATATAGTCTAGTCTATAGTCTAGTCTATAGTCTAGTCTATAGTCTAGTCTATAGTCTAGTCTATAGTCTAGTCTATTCTAGTCTATAGTCTAGTCTTAGTCTAGTCTATAGTCTAGTCTATAGTCTAGTCTATAGTCTAGTCTATAGTCTAGTCTATAGTCTAGTCTATAGTCTAGTGAATAGTCTAGTCTATTGTTTAGCCTATAGTTCAGCCTATAGTCTAGTCTATAGTCTAGTCTATAGTCTAGTCTATAGTCTAGTCCTATAGTCTAGTCTATAATATAGTCTATAGTATAGTCTATAGTCTAGTCTATAGTCTAGTCTATAGTCTAGTCTATAGTCTAGTCTATAGTCTAGTCTATAGTCTAGTCTATAGTCTAGTTTATAGTCTATAGTCTAGTCTATAATCTAGTCTATAGTCTTGTCTATAGTCTAGTCTATAGTCTAGTCTACAGTCTAGTCTAGTCTATAGTCTAGTCTATAGCCTAGTATACAGCCTGGTGTATAGTTTAGCCATTAGTTATAGTAATGTTGGTTTTTATTGAAATTTTTTCTTTGCGTGTTTTTTATCTCCCCATTAAATTTTAGGGTTGTATTTATTTGTTGCAACAACTGAGCTCAATTTTACAATTTGTCAGTGGTTGTGTGAAAAAAGTCAAAAGATATAAATATGTATGTATGTTATACATACGTATACAAGATATCAAAGTTTGGTATGATAAATTGTTGGTTTATTAAATAAAATAGAATATCTTGTGTAAATAAACAAATATATAAATCAATAAATGCTTTTTAACGCCTGTACATATATACCTTTATTTATTAATTTAAACAGCCTAAAGGTAGACAATACTATTTGCTACTTACTAAGTAAGGGTAAGTTAAGCGGTTGTCTTATGTTTGTAATGGCTTTTATAAACAATTTTATCCTTCACTGTAGTTTTTTAGCCAAAAATTCTGTCTTCATATAGTTTTCTATATGAATAAATCTTTTTCTAAACAATACATATTTTCATATATAACTTTATTACCTTTTACAAAATACAAGTAAATTTTCTTATAGAAAACTATAGAAAAAAGGGAAAACTTTTTTCCAACTTTTGTATACAAACAAAATATTTTGTTAGTTTTCATTTCCTTCCTAAAGTTTATGCCTTCGTACGTTGTAGTAAAGCATCCAAAAACGAAACAATTTAAATAAACACAATCAAATAAAGTCAAAAATTGATAAGACTCCATATGTTTTAGGTTACAAAAATATTTTATACATGAAAATGAACTACATACGTGTAACAAGAGGAAGGAGACAAAAAAAAAAAGAAAACATAACATATTTCTTGGCAAACAACTACTAATTTTTGAAGTCACGGAAGTTACTACTTCTACTACTACTACGACAATGAGGAAGTTAGCCAAAAAGAAAATAACTTTTACAGGTTTAGCAGACAAAAGACAAAAAGGGGGAAGGAGTAAATTTATCACTTCAACTTTTATATAAAAGCTTTACTTAAGTTTTACTTTCTTAACTTAAACAAAGTCTACTTTTAGGCTTCTTATCTTCCTATTTCTATTTCCTTTCAAGTTCAATATGTTTATTTTTATTAAAACTTAACATTTTTATTTACAAAATAAAAAATTGTACTTTTATTATTATAAATAATTATTTAAAATTAATTTTACATTATATTATTTAACGAAATTAAAATATTAACTTAAACGGGGAGCAGTAGTTGTAGTAAATTTAAAGAAATTAAAATATTTGAAAATAAAATTAAATTTAATTAATTAAATGTAATGTAATTTAGGTAAAATAATTTAATAGTGTACACTTCACTGTAGTACAATCGGGCAGTGATGTAAATAAGTAACAGGATAATTTATAATCATAAATAAATTCACATGTGGGAAATCTGGAAAAAAAGAAAGAGAAAAATATAAATTATTAAAAAATGTAAACAGAAAAAATAGAGACTAGAATATTCTCCAGAACAGACTATAAATTAGAATACAGATAAGACCATTAGAATACAGATAAGACTGACTACATATAGACACGACAAGACTATAGCATGCATTATAGACTAAATAGAGACTAGACTATAGACTAGACTATAGACTAACTATAGACTAGACTATAGACTAGACTATAGACTAGACTATAGACTAGACTATGGACTAGACTATAGACTAGACTATAGACGAGACTATGGACTAGACTATAGACTAGACTATAGACTAGACTATAGACTAGACTATAGACTAGACTATAGACTAGACTATAGACTAGACTATAGACTAGACTATAGACAACTATAGACCTAGACTATAGACTAGACTATAGACTAGACTATAGACTAGACTATAGACTAGACTATAGACTAGACTATAGACTATACTATAGACTAGACTATAGACTAACTATAGACTAGACTATAGACTACACTATAGACTAGACTACTAGACTAGACTAGACTATAGACTAGACTATAGAATAGACTATAGACTAGACTATAGACTAGACTATAGACTAGACTATAGACTAGACTATAGACTAGACTATAGACTAGACTATAGACTAGACTATAGACTAGACTATAGACTAGACTATAGACTAGACTATAGACTAGACTATAGACCAGACTATAGACCAGACTATAGACTAGACTATAGACTAGACTATAGACTAGACTATAGACTAGACTATAGACTAGACTATAGACTAGACTATAGACTAGACTATAGACTAGACTATAGACTAGACTATAGACTAGACTGTAGACTAGACTATAGACTAGACTATAGACTAGACTATAGACTAGACTATAGACTAGACTATAGACTAGACTATGGACTAGACTATAGACTAGACTATAGACTAGACTATAGACTAGACTATAGACTAGACTATAGACTAGACTATAGACTAGACTATAGACTAGACTATAGACTAGACTATAGACTAGACTACTATAGACTAGACTATGACTAGACTATAGACTAGGATATAGACTAGACTATAGACTAGACTATGACTAGACTATAGACTAGGACTATAGACTAGACTATAGACTAGACTATAGACTAGACTATAACTAGACTATAGACTAGACTATAGACTAGACTATAGACTAGACTATAGACTAGACTATAGCAGACTATAATAGACTATAGACTAGACTTAGACTAGACTCTAGACTAGACTATAGACTAGACTATAGACTAGACATAGACTGAATATAGACTAGACTATAGACTAGACTATAACTAGACTATAGACTAGACATAGACTAGACTATAGACTAGACTATAGACTAGACTATAGACTAGACTATAGACTAGACTATAGACTAGACTATAGACTAGACTATAGACTATGACTAAGACTAGACTATGACTAGACTATAGACTAGACTATAGACTAGACTACTAGACTAGACTATAGACTAGACTATAGACTAGACTATAGACTAGACTATAGACTAGACTATAGACTAGACTTAGACTAGACTATAGACTAGGACTATAGACTAGACTATAGACTAGACTATAGACTAGACTATAGACTAGACTATAGACTAGACTATAGGACTAGACTATAGACTAGACTATAGACTAGACTATAGACTAGACTATAGACTAGACTATAGACTAGACTATAGACTAGACTATAGACTAGACTATAGACTAGACTATAGACTAGACTATAGACTAGACTATAGACTAGACTATAGACTAGACTATAGACTAGACTATAGACTAGACTATAGACTAGACTATAGACTAGACTATAGACTAGACTATAGACTAGACTATAGACTAGACTATAGACTAGACTATAGACTAGACTATAGACTAGACTATAGACTAGACTATAGACTAGACTATAGACTAGACTATAGACTAGACTATAGACTAGACTATAGACTAGACTATAGACTAGACTATAGACTAGACTATAGACTAGACTATAGACTAGACTATAGACTAGACTATAGACTAGACTATAGACTAGACTATAGACTAGACTATAGACTAGACTATAGACTAGACTATAGACTAGACTATAGACTAGACTATAGACTAGACTATAGATAGACTAGACTATAGACTAGACTATAGACTAGACTATAGACTAGACTATAGACTAGACTATAGAATAGACTATAGACTAGAATATAGACTAGACTATAGACTAGACTATAGACTAGACTATAGACTAGACTATAGACTAGACTATAGACTAGACTATAGGACTGGACTATAGACTAGACTATAGACTAGGACTATAGACTAGACTATAGACTAGACTATAGACTAGACTATAGACCTAGACTATAGACTAGACTATTGTAGAGCGCTCGTGGAAAGAATGTTCTAGTCAATTTACTAATATAAAAAAAATTTCATTAGGTCTGTTTGAAATTGCCAGACATAAGTTTTATCATTTCGTTCATTATTAAAAAAAAAAAAGAAACATGTTACTGGCGTTAAACTATTATATATTTTATACAAAATTCTCTTTAGTAAAATATCATCTTTTATTGTTCTCTTGGTTAATTTAACACCTATACTTCAGGAAGATATCCATAATCGAAAAATTCTGAATTATCGGTGTATATTATATGTATATGTATATGTATATGTATATGTATATGTATATGTATATGTATATGTATATGTATATGTATATGTATATGTATGTATATGTATATGTATATGTATATGTATATGTATATGTATATGTATATGTATATGTATATGTATATGGATATGTATATGTATATGTATATATTTGCGTATATATTTATATGTACATTTATGTGTTTATATTCTAAGTATGCATATATTTATAATGACATAGGTTTTGGTTATCCATAATTGTACTGCATATTTATTGTCTAAAAGAAAAGGGAAAAGAGATTGAGATCTATATATAATGATGGTATGATGATGACATTAGGACTTACGAATGACATTGACATATTTACCAATACTTTTATCAATGGTATGACATCAGTGAACTCTGGTTTGCAGTTGTTAATGCAGTGGACAAAGGGTTGTAATTCATTAGTAGTTTCTCCGAATTAAATACATGCAAAATTGCAATAGAATTTTTACATTAGTGGTTGTAAATAAGTATTTTTGTTTTTGGTAGGAAAGGAATGTGCTGAAATAGCGTAAAAATTCCAATTTTGTTGGGTATAAATAGGCTTATCTTGGTTAAAATAGTTCTTTTTGAAAATAAGACGATACTCTGGTTCATTTGGAAAAAAAGTAAATCCTTATATATCCTGAATTTTTGGTATCCTTAATATCCTTTTGGTTCTTTAGAACAAAGGACTTTACTTTTTTTTTGCAAAACTGGTGATAACATAACTTTTCGAACTCTTGTGATTTTCATAACCAAAAGCCAAGACAAAGCAAAGGTAAACTATAACCGCAGGAATTTCTTTTATTTTATTTACGATTTTAATTTGATTTTAAATTTAGCTTTATTGAAAATCGTGTTGCTCTTTATTGGCATAAGGCTTATTTGGTGTGAAATATTTGGTCAACGAGAAACGATCCTTTCCAGGTCTATAGAGATATTAATTTTCTTGAGGGCACGGGCAACCTCCAGGAAAGCCCGCCGATTTTACTCACTTTATCTCCCGTGCACCGAAAATAGACGTTCAAAAAGAAAGATTATAAAAAGTGTAGAAAAGAATTTTTTTTTGTGAACAAAAATAAGATTCAACATCAATTTTTGGACTATAAAAAAATAAACTGTGGAAAAAGAAAATATTAAGCACCAAAACACAGCATTATAAAATAGAAAAATTGTGAAGAAGAAAAAAAAAAACCCGAAGAACAGTGTTAACTTCACTAATTTTAATTTTTGTTTCTAATGATTTTTAATTTATTTCTGAAAGTGTATACTGAAATCTATTAATTATTTTTTTGTTAATATCAATTATTATTATTTAATATTCTATTTTGGTTTGAACAAGAATCAGTGCAACCAGTGCTATATTTGTTAAAACGAAACTAAAACTAAAACAAGAAAAAAAATAAGTAAGAAAGAATCGAGGAAAAAATAATATAAAATCAATAAGAAAGAATCAGAAAAAAAAATAAAATCAATAAAAAAAAAAATAATAAAAACGATTGAGAAGGAATGCAAAAAAAAAATTAAATCTATAAATAGATCAAACAATAAATCCAAATTTCTATAAATAATAGTAAAAACAAACAAAAAATAGTAGGATCCTTAAACTATGCAATGAAATTTTAACATATTATCAATTAAAAGCAAAACAAAAAAAAAACAACCCCTTTAACTACAAGCTGACATAATTTTCTTGTCCCTGAACCAGGAGCCAGCGAAAGATCTTTCATTGGAATCCAGAAAACAGGAAAAATAAGTAAGTGAACCTAAATTCTTTTGTATAGTTTTTATTGCATAAGTATTGTGTTTGACAGGAAATATAATGTATTCACTGCAAAAATGAATTACTTTGCCAATATGGATTCATGTTAATAACAGTAGTAAATCTTATACTACATTTCCCTTATTGTATTGAATACATCATATTCCGTCGACATTAGTCACTATTTAACTATTGATTGCTCAAAGCCGACGTGGCTGACTGAGTAGAGTGTACGCTGCGCAGACGCGGTACTCCGGGTTCGAGTCTCGAAGCAAACAGTTTTGATCTTTTTTTTATTAGTTAAAGAAAAATATTTTTTTTATTTTGTGATCATAGGAAATATAATGTATTATTTGTAAATTTGTTTATTCCACCCCAAAAGTTGGTTCATCATTAACATTATTATTTAAATGTGTTAAAAAAAAATACATCATATTTCTTTTGATCCTACACATTGAAATGTTCCAAATACTCAATTTAACGTTTACCGAAAAAATATT